CTTAATTATTGCCCTGATGGTGGAAATGGGAATTTTCACTGTTCTAGCTCTTTTCTTAAAGTCACTTTCTAATTTGTGAAGCTCAATTATCTTTTGCTGCCCATCAGAAATATATTCTTTGGTTTTTCTCATTGTGATGGATGATTAAGGGAATTTGGCCTTTGTTTTCCCTCCTATTTATATTCCTGTGAAACAGGAAGCCATGGCTCGATAATTTCATGTTCATAATCACCCTGGTATGCTCAAAATTGTCAATATGAATGGGAATATAGTTCACAGATATTTTACTCATAAGAATTTCTAGGGGTGCCAATAATTGTGTCCAACGTGTATTTGAGAAAAAACATGTATTTTATAATGAGATTTTCCCCCATTTTCAATTGTTTTAGTTCAATGAAATGTTGGGTATTTGTGAATTGTTTTAAATAAAAGATCAAAATAATTAACAATGCAGATTTATTTTTACAGCCTTCTTTGATCATATTTACCAAGGGTGCCAATACTTCTGACCATGACTGTATATATATATATATGTGTGTGTGTGTGTGTGTTTGTGTGTGTGTGTGACCTTGGACCAGAAAACCAGTCTTAAGTCGCTGGGGTATATTTGTAGCAATAGACAAAAATACATTGTATGGGTCAAAATTATAGATTTTTCTTTCATGCCAAAAATCATTACGATATTAAGTAAAGATCATGTTCCATGAAGATATTTTTTCAATTTCCTACTGTAAATATATCAAAACTTAATTTTTGCTTAGTAATATGTATTGCTAAGAACTTCATTTGGACAACTTTAAAGGCGATTTTCTCAATATTTTGATTTTTTTGCACCCTCAGATTCCATATTTTCAAATAGTTGTATCTCAGCCAAATATTGTCCTATCCTAACAAACCATACATCAATGGAAATTTATTTATTCAGCTTTCAGATGATGTATAAATCTCAATTTTGAAAAATGTACCCTTATGACTGGTTTTGTGACCCAGGTTCACATACATCATTTATATATATATATATATATATATATATATATAATTAGCTTACTGTTGAAATGTAGCACCAACAAATTTTCATGGCAAGTTTTGGGTCTCTAGACTCTATGGTGCACTTAAGAGATAGTCAAGAGAAAAAGAAAAGTAATATCTGAACTAAAAAAATAAAAATAAAAAATACCCCAGACCAGAGGCTGACCAATTGTTGTAATTCCCCTGGGAAGAAAAAGTGCAATCACAGTTATCTCCAGGACCTAGGGTAGAAAAACCCCATCTCCCATTCTTCCTCTGACGCAGCTAGTGGGGCGACTCCAGCATCTCCATTAGGAAAGTGTCAATGGGGGTGTCTCCAATCAGTTTAAAGAAGAAAAGGTGCTCCAGACACTTAAGGCCAATGGAACGCAATGCAGGAAGTCGGAGGAGGAGCTTGGCAAACCTGTGAATTAGCAAGGGAGCTGATTTTTTTTTTTTAATTTATGGCCTCTTGTATACTCTCACAGCCATATATAATGCCAGACAATCATAAAAGAGGTCGTTTACACATAGTAGATTTAAAGGCACAACACAAGTTTAATTCTGAGGGTCAGAGAGACATAAAACTTTTAGAAAATTCGCCCCATAACAGGACAGAACACTCACCTCCCCTGCTGATCTGGGTATTTTTGTTTGCAATAGGCCTCCAGGGACGCGTACACTTTCTCTCTGAGAAGCTCCACCTCACTGCTGCTAGTCAGACCTTTGGCATCTAAGAAATATTGGAAATATTCAGTACAAACATACACCATTCTTTGGGTTTTTCTCCAGTTTTGATGTCAAAGGTGTGCATAATATATGTTCTGCCTGTGAAGGTGTTTACATGCATAGTCAGTTTAAAGTAATGGGCCAATATTTAGATGTGCAAGTCAGGTTTTGCCTAAACTGTTTATGACCTTAACCTGATAATAGAACTGTTTAAAGGGGTCCTATTATGCTTTTTCACTTTTTTAATTTTAGTCAGTGTGTAGTGTGTATGTTTGAGCATAAAAAAGATCTAGAAAGTTACAAATCTCAAAGTCCACTCCAAAGGGAGATATTTAGTTTTTTAAAAATCCATTTTCAAGAACTACAGCAAACGGCTCGTTTGGACTACAGCGTTTGGTTTCCGGGCTTTATGATATCACAAAGCGGCTCATTAGAATATCATTACAAAGAATTCCCGCCTACAGAAATTCGAATGGTTGGGGGGTGGGGAGGGGCGAGGTCGTGGTTAGAACGCTTGGTTGAGTGAGCGCATCAGACGAGACGACGAAGAAGTGGTGCTGCTGCAGTTAGTGCGTCAGAGAAAACCAAGAAGAGCAACTGCTGTGCTGTAGCCTCAAATTTTTGGCATGTCTAGAACAGCGGTTCTCAATTCCAGTCCTCGCGTACCCCCGCTCTGTACATTTTGTGTGTTTCTCTTATTGCTTCATACGTTTGTTATATTTGACTGTAAGTGCCCTGCGAAGTGGACATTACCAGATATTCCTCCATGATTCCAGTTTGAAGGGAGCGTATGCTCCATACAAAGGGCATTTAAGTGTGCGAGACGTGAATTAAAATTTTATTTATTTACAGAGGTATATTATGTCCCACTTCACGCTTCTCTAGTAAATTTTGTCTGTGTGTGAAGATGCTGCAGGCAGCGGCGCAGCGTAAATCTGTAAATGAATATTCCGAAGTGATTTCCCGGATTTCCGAAGTGAGTCAATGGATTTTCCCTGCTCAGGGAGTAGGGAGCAATGCACACTGTGTAGGGAGCATGTCAATCGGAACACAGTTCATGCACGGAGCTCACGTCTAACGAGATGATCTGAATCAGGTGTGTTAACAAAGAGAGACGTGCAAAACATGCAGAGCGGGGGTACGCAAGGACTGGGATTGAGAACCGCTGGTCTAGAACAATTCTTACAAATATAACACGACGTAGCTGGGTGCCGCGGACAGACACCTCCGTGCCCAAACGTCTTTGCCCAAACGAAAGCGGATGATGTCAGGAAACAGTGGTTGCAAACGGAGCAAGGGGCGGGGCAGTACTGAAACACCGTCTAAGCTGTTCGCCAATCACAACGCACTGGGACAGCTAACCAATCACAACACATTTTGTTTATCGGAAGGCGGACCTTCATCAAAGCCGGAACTAATCGAGCCGTTTGTGCCAGCCTGGGGAGAGAGGTATTTTAATAATGTAAATTATGTGAAAAATAATGCGTTTTTCGAACCACCAAGCATGAGAGCATGTTCTAGTACACCGCCAAAACAAAATCAAGACTTTGTAAAAGAGCATAATAGGACCCCTTTAAGGTATTTATATGACACACAGGTTATTATAGGTACAATGCATCTAAAAATAAAAAATCCTGGCATCATGTTAGTTGGGCCCAAAACAATATTGGACCCCATTGACTTTCACTGAATGGACAAAAAATATTGAGACAGTTAAAAAAATGTTTTTTTAAATCTTCCTTTTGTGTTCCACAGGAGAAAGTAAGTCAAAGATGTTTGTAACAACATAAGGGTGAGTACATTATGAAATTTACATTTTAGAAGTATCCCTTGAAAAAAATTCAGAAATATCGATCAAACTATTAGACTTTTGGCTTCTAAATAATTTTTAGATAAACCTAAACAAATGCTTACCTGGGTTAAACAGAACTATGGCACGCAGACAACCAAGTTCAGTTCTGTCCATTTGCATATCACGCATCTTACAGACCAGCTCAGTCAGCACCCTGCAGGTGTGTAAAAAAATGAGACTAATAATCATAAATCACCCCAACGACAGGTTCCCATCCCACAAACTTCTACACAGGTATGAAGAAAACACAAGAGAAGCAGGAATTACCTGTCGAATAAGGCTCCCACCTCTGCACTGTGTGCACTTTCCCTGCACATTATGAACACATTATGAACACATTATGAACACGTTAAGCCTCTAAATCAACTATATTATTAAACAGTGGTAAACACAGAGTTCATTGTGACCTGTCAAAAAAGGCCTCCACGCCCAAGTTGTGAGTGCTGTCTCTGGGCACATGTAGACCTGTGGCCAACAGAATCTCATCATTCACGCTGATGGAGCGATGAGAGAAGGCAGCGATCAAGAGCTCATTCCATCCTGTTATAAAAATATCACAATCATATAGTAAAATGCTTTTCGTGTATATTTATACATTTGCGTTCCAATATAAAACAATATAAAAGAAACAGACAGCGACAAAATGAGTGTGAGAGTGTCAGATGCTCGTACCAGCCCTAAGCAGAATGACTTGGTCATCCAGGGGCAGCTCAGAGAAGTGAGGGATTCTTTTGGCCCACTCCACCAGAGTGTACAGCTGTTTGTCTGCAGCCTGGCAAATGTTAGTGACTGGATCATTGGGCTGGAGAACAGAGAAGTCACAGAGTCAGTGGAGGAGAGTGAGAGCAAATGCCTCTGGCACTTCTGGACAATAAAAGAGAATCTCAGAGCTGATAAACGTCTGAGTGCTTTATTTTTATTTATATTCTCGGTCTATGGGGATATTCAGCTCCAAACACTTAGAAATCAAAAGATCCTAATCTCTAAATCAGCTCTGGGAATACCAGCATTTAAACAGCTTTAAATAAGGGCTGTTTCTCACCCAGCAGGAAACTGACTTTGCCTGGCAACAGTCGACAACAATCAATGCTTGGCATAACTTTGGAAATGAATCGCTTACAACCTTTTAACCAACTTTCATTACAAGGCAACTGCTGACTGACAATGAGCGTGTTTACATGAACACCAATATTTTTAAAAACTCCCAAATATTAGCTTACCTACATAACCTACTGTACCAGATTACATGCAAACCAATAATCCTGTAATGCATGTAAAGTGTGTTAAAAATCAGGTTACTCTCTGGCAGTGCCATCAAAATGTAATAATTTGTGTATATGGCTCAGAGTATTGCATTTGTTATGTGAGTGGTGATATTAAATTAAGCAATAAAAACCCCAGAGTATTCCAAAATGCTCTGGGGAAACAGGAAGCTTGTATGAACTCATGCGGTTTCTGCGAATTCAGCATTTTGGCTGTTCCACTTAGGGTTGGGTATCGTTTGGGTCTTTCACGATACCGGTGCCAAATCGATACTTTTAAAACGGTACCGGTGCCTAAACGGTGCTTGAACCGACACTATAAATAAATAAATAAATACCCAAAATAGGATGGATTGGCCATTATTGAACACTATAAACACATTTAATGTCCGTTTCATTCATACTGGACGCCAGAGGGCGCCCTCGCACAGAAACTCCACATGTGCATCACAGAAGTAATAGGACTTAGGAAATCCCTATACTCTTTGCTAATATGGACAAAGGCATTGCTATGGCTGTAACTGTAACTGAGTAAACAGAAGATATAAATGTTTTGAATGATAAAACAAAGACAATAAACACTCGACTGCGACAATGTAGTTTATAGGGCTGGGTATCGAGTTCGATACTTTTTAGGCACCGACCGAATTGCCTCGATACCATCGAGTATCGAAAAACGTCTTGTCGTTCGGTACCAAATTTCGATACCTAAGGGGTTAATCTCATCAGTATCAGTGAGGCGCAGATCGATCAGTGTTTGACATCCGCAAGAGCGATGCGAAAATGTACGGAGCAGTCTGCTCGTGGTACTATAGCCTAATACACCGATAGGTCTGCACAGTCGGTCCGCGTCACGCGCCATGCCATACTCAGAGATGTGGCTCACACATGAGTATTTAGTGTGAATGCATCCGAGCCCCCGTAGCTGTAAGGCTACATTTACACTGGTGCGTTTTTGTTTTAAAATGAAAACGATCCTCGTCATACTGAGGTTTCCACTGCGTTTCAAGTCGGCTTTCCATTATCTCTGACAAATGACAGACCGAAAGTCATTCATTTCAAATGGAGAGTAGCGTGGGAGCTGCGTGGAGTTCCAATCATATGCAGATGTCCGTTCATACTACAAGACCGAAAGCGCATGTTATGTGAACATTCATGCACACTGTAACATCATGCTACATAAGACCAGGGTTTAAATTGGGCGGGGGGCCGTCTGGGGCTGAGCCCCGCCACATAGACTCCAGGGCTTGACATTAACTCATTAACGCCAGACAAGTAACATGATTAAAACATCAGTAACCAAAAATAACTATGTAAACACCAAAACACAATATTATTCTGATTTTATTACATTTAGAGTAAGTGGCGATCTAATGTACATAATGTATCTATTGACAGTATAAGGTTGCGCTGCTGAGGAGCCTCTCCAGGAGAAATCAAAACAAGCAAAACTAAGAAACTCAGCATCCTGAGGTAAAAATTCAAAATGGAAAGTTTTTATATTTAAAATACAGTTAGTTAGGCAACATCACACAACGTTTTCACCATTACGACTGTTTAATAGTTCTATAAACAGTTCAATAAGCAAATACAATAATATTAGGTCACTTACATTTTAGGCAGAACAAAGCGCATCTCACAGCAACCAGCCGATTCATTGCTGATTGAGTCCGTGTTTTGAACGAACCGGTTGAGTCAAAGTTTCATTAGCCCATGCATAAACATCTGATGAATCTGCCGTTTAAACGAATCGTTTGAATGAACGACTCAATGACTCACTCATTAAACGCTCACTACTGGCACCTACTGGCGTTTTAATTTAGTTGAAAAGTATAATTTCCACCATAATTTCTATTTTGTATATTACATTTTTTTTTAAATAATCTCATAATTATTTAATGCAGTTGTATTTTTCAGTGTCAATTGAATTTATAGATCAAATGAAAGAATTTGAAATGAAAGTTATATATATATATATATATATATGCTCGATACCATAGAGCCCCCCCCCCACCACACACACATAACAAATCCCAATTTAACCCCTGCATAAGACAATAAATAAGATTTATATTCCGCTTTTACTCAAAACTCACTTTAAACCACCATCAAGTTTTTGTAATAACTTCCGATTGCCATGTGTGTTTTGGCCATGTATTGCTGATGAAATTAAATATATTATTACCTCTGAGTCAGAGCAGCGATCATGGAAGAGAGAGCACAGGCAGACAGCGCTAGAAACTGCTAATGCTCATCAGTAAATCAGTGGAAAATGAATAGAAATGATGATTCTGTCTGAGCTAGGCGTTTTAAAACAAACACACACTAGTGTAAATGTAGCTAACAGATGTGTAAACTGAAGACTATTTGAGCTTTATTAAAACTATTTGCACTGATTTTTTGTTAGTTACATTTTGTTCCTTTGTGCAGTGGCACAGGAGATTTTTGTGTCTGTATAAACATCAACAAGCTGAAAAATAAAACCAAAGCTAATTTTTTTTAGATAATGTAATCTTGTTCAAATAGATTTCATAAAATTGGTATCGAAAAAAGTATAGTTCAGGAACCGGTATCGAAGTCAAGATATCGGTATCGAAAAATTTTGAACGATACCCAGCCCTAATAGTTTATCTGTGTTATTCAAGCCATCTTTGGTATTTTCATCATAATGAAGCATATTTATAATCCATTGCTAATCAACATATGCTTGATTTTACCATTGTACCATATGCTTTTTACAGTATAGAACATATTTTCTGCCTCATTCTGTGACAAGAAGCCACATCAGATCACAAAAGGAAGCAGTTGTGGAGTAAAAATGTTACAGTGTTCTCTTTTGTTGGACAACAGGTTTAGAAATGCTTCTCATTGCAAGTCATTACAAGGGAAGTTTAGCTTTAGTAGGGTGACCATATTTTAGTTTTTCAAAATAAAACAAGTCAATAGAACAGAAAAAGAATAGATAATGCAAGTGTTAGTAGGTCATTATTTATAATAATTAAACAGAAAATAAGTAGAAAGAATAGAGAATGCTAGTGTTAGAGGCTCTTCTTTCTTTATAAATAAAACAAGTAGTTAGAATAGAAATAGAATAGAGAGTGAAAATGTTAGAGGGTCAAGTTAAAAAAGAAGATGATAAAATTAGAATTAGCATTATAATAGAGAGTGCTAGAGTTAGAGGTTCAAACGAAGATGAAAGAGATGTGTTTTCAGCGGTTTCCTGAAAATATTAAGGACTCAACTGCTTGGATTGAGTTGGGCAGGTCATTCCACCAGGAGGGAACAGTTAATGTAGAAGTCCATGAAAGTTTTATCATAGGCAGAAGGCATTTCAGTCAAATGTAATTTATGCAATATTTCAAACCTTTAACCCACTTGGGAAAATCAACCCATGGCAACAGTTTAAAAGTAGCCTAATTATGTGGAAAAAATGTGGACTTGGCAACCCTGCATCCAACAAGAGCTACCGGAGTCAGCTTTGACTGATCACAGGTCGAGAATAAGGAGAGATGACTGACAAGACCATGCTTGAGTATCTTGTAAGATGTGCTCCCTTTACACAGAGTGCGAGTGATCGCGAAATCGAAAGTGAAAGTAAACAGCGCAAACGCTCATTCAAAAATATTTAAATACACCGCATCCTGAGAGCGGCTCCCTGATACGCCAAAATTATATACAATATTAGAATGTTTAAAAAATTGGACTCGAAACTCGCGGGAGCGAAACACATGTTGCGGTAGCAGGCGGCAATGGTCAGAGATTCAGCGGGAGCGGGATTAAGAAAACAGCCAAATCCCGGACATTTTGGGATGTCATTACATCCCTAATGGCCGGACGCATTTTTTTGTAGGTCCAAAAAGAGGACATGTCCGGGGAAAAGAGGGCGTATGGTCACCCTAGATTTAGGAATTTTAATTTAAGAATGTTTAGCTTAGCTAGCTAACGGTCTCTACCTGCTGCCATCAGAGCAAGTGTAATTACTGCATTCAGTGCCCCTCGGATGCTCTCATTTCCCTTTCCGACTTGCTTTCGTGAATTTTCTCAGTCGAGAAATTATTTTTCACGTGCGGTGCCGGTGATCCTTACGTTCGTTTCGGAGAACAAATATTTAAATCGATCACTCAAGCATTTAAGTGGCACCGAAATGAGGCACCGAAATCTGCGTTCTGATTCGGTTCTAGTACATACCGGTTACATAGGAAACCCCGTGCCATATTGGCACGGGGTTTCGGTACCCAACCCTAGTTCCACTTAGGCTGCACAAGATGAGAACACATTTTTATTATTGCTCGGATGAAGAAAGAGTTGGAGTGTACAATATATTTCCTATTCCCTACCATGATTACGGATGGTTCACTTGTCTTTAAGAATGTTTAAACTTTATATTTGTTAAGACTAGTGGTTTTGCTGTGGTATTGAAGTTGGAATAGAGAATTGTAAAATTGAACTGGTATCTAAAATGATGATGTCATATCAGTTTATTTATTAGAATACAAGATAGCACGGGTCAAAAACAACTTTTTTTTTTTTTTTTTGGGCAGGGGCAAATATCAATACATACATCAAACAAACCATACATCAATGCTTATTTATTCAGTTTTCAGATGATGTATAAATCAAAAAAATTGACCCTTATGACTGGTTTTGTGGTCCAGGGTAACAAATGAGAATTGTAAAATGTATTTGTTATCTAGAATTTTGGTGAGTGATATCAGTTTATTTATTAGAATAAAAGATAGGACGGGTCAAAAAAAACTTTTTTTTTTTTTTTTGTGGCAGGGCCAGAGAAAATGTTGGCAGGGAAAGTGAAATATTTAACCACTGGCTTTTCTTTTTTTCTCTTATATTGTTTCTGATGTGTTTTTATTTCTATTGTTATCACTGTATTTATTTTTTTACTTTTAAATATGTATACTTTTATGTGTAAAGTGCTTTGAGAAGTAACTTTAAAAGGCACTATATAAAATAAAGTTATTATTATTAGCATTAGTATTATTATTTATTTTTAAAAATATGATATAGACTGAATTGAACCGTACATACCTAAAAATAATGCACTTATTTATTACAAGTACGAATGTAAATGTCAGTGTTTTTCAATGCAGTGTCAACTTTAAACAACCTATACAAACACAGATGATACTATAACCCAGAATGGAACACGCCTCTTTAAATGGTTTCGTGGTGATCGTTGTTGTATTTTAAAACACAATTGCAATGTTTTCAACTGACATTATGGCATTTAAGATCAAATGATCTCAAACGTAACTGTGGTGCGTGTGGCTGTGCTGTGCAGTCAGTGAACTGCTTCCATCGGCAAAACACACTGTTGCTCACATTAAACATTTTTATGTGAGTATTATGACCAGTATTTAATTTGATCCTGCTGGATCCTGTTCCAAAAAAAAAATCAGATTAAACGGTAGGCCTATTTGTTTTTAAAAATCCGGCATTTACAGTGCATTAGATCGTGACAGTGCATGCATGCGTACATACGAGGACTGAGCGAGCGCGGGTTTGGCTAGATGTATTTGGAGGTTATTTGTATTTTCTCATTTGTATTTGGAGGTGTATTTGCTCACGTCTCATTCAGCACAAATCCAAATGTTTCCATATTCGCAATGTATTTGAATGTTAAACTATTATTTATAATGTAAACTAGGCTTGTACTTTACACGCATTCTCATATAGATGGAAAAGATCATCCTCTTCACATGAGCAAAAACGTCCTTGGCATAACATAAGAGTGGACCGGTATAGTACGGTCTATTTAAACTGACCAGTGTAACCTTTTATATGTTTGGTTGACTATTTTATTTTGATAATGAACAGACTGTGATGTAAGTTTGAATTGCTAGAATATGTGGGGTGTGTGTGCACGAGGCTCCAGCGCGATTGAACAGCTGAAACATAAAAAAAGATATAATCCGCAAAAGCGTTTCCTTTTATTTTTGCACACTCACAATAAAAACAGAAGATTTGTGCTTTTGTAAAATAAAGCAAACAAAAATAATGCGCGTTGTCATCCTTTCCTTTCCGTGAACTTGTTTATGGAGCGCCGCACCACACTTCTGTTTTAAATCTGTTAGCTTAATTATTTAAGTCAGATATATTTCGCATATTTTTTTTTTAATGAAAACAAATTGTTATTTTTATTTTAGGCCTATTACTTACATGGGCTATACATTTTCCTTAAAGCATACCATTTTGTCCCAAGGCTTAAAAACCTGTGCCCTAGGCTAGTTAGGTCCATGCAGAAACTTGTGAACGATGCTCTTAGTTGTGGCATCATCGTTTAGTGACATCATTGAATGCTCCGGGAAAACGCACTGTCAGTGTCGGTCACAGCGCCTTTTAATTGCTATTTTGAATTCAGCAATTATTTATTTACAAATTGTAAGCTCTGATTATGACAAGTGTGGTATAAAAGTTTTGTTTATTAGAGGAATAATTGGTTTGCTGGAAAATGTTACATCGCGACCATGCTTTTGGATGCCGTTAGAGCCCATATAGGCTACATTTATGCGGCTTTGTTCTAGTTTGCCGGTTGGCCACGAATTTCCACAAATTCAATAATATTTAGGCATTGTTTCTTTTCCTAAATCCTCACCATCTGACCCTGTAATCTAGGTTTATTTTATTGTCATTCACTTTTTTTTTTATCGATCATCGATTGTTGACATCCCTATTATGTAGACTTTAAACAACAAGGATAATACGCAGCCATGGGTGGTGTGTAAATATACTCACTGAACCAGTGGCATCAGAGTGCAAGTCTGATCTGTGCTCTACAGCTGTCTCTGCCTCCAGTATCTTCTCCGCAGGCATCTCCTCATTGGCTGAACTGCTGCATTCATAGTCTCCATCCCGTTCCTTATTCTTCTGACGCTCGTCCTGAACAGCTAGGGGAGAAAAAATGAGGGTAAACTCATAAATGTCAAGGAATCAGCCCGGCCATCTGTAATATAGCCACTGGGTGATGTTGCCCTAGTGGTACAAGATCTGGCCTGGAAACCAAAAGATGCAATTCAAAAATCACTGAGCAAGACACTTCTCTGCAAATTGTATGTATGTATATTAGGGGTCGACCGATTATCGGCCTGGCCGATATTATGCATTTTTATGATTATCGGTCATTTTCAAAACCGATTCGCCGATAAAATAACTTAATTTTGAAACGCGTTATTTGGCTCTGATGCAGCCTGTCAGAACATACCACTCTGTGGCCTAAAGCAGTCTCCGCCCACCGCTCATCTGATTTGTTGGGAGTCACGAGTCCGACCAATCAAAGCAGAATTCACTCTCACTCCAAAAGCGCTTGCTAACTGGAGCTGCTTCAGTGATCACGCATAAGTTGTCTCTCAAAGGTAAGGCAGCAGCAGACGTTGCTTAAGTTGCAATAGATCCCAATCCACTAACGTTACACCGAAGTTGCAAAACACCTTAATATTATCTACGGAATCTAGTCATATAAACAGAATTTACTGTATGACGCGAAATGTCACGGAATTTGTCAAAGTTGGATTAATTAATCAAAAGTAGGTCAGTACACTTAAATAGAGTCGCAATATGGACTAGTATCTGTAAATATTAAGCCGCAAAAATACTATTTAATATGAATCCAGCATGTTCTGCGTGTCTCTGTGTATGTAAATGGCACAGACGAGCGGTTTTGTTTTCTACACATACAAAGTGTGCGATGCTCGCGGTGATTTCAGCTTCTGTCATCTCACTACATGAGGATATAAATACATGAACAACATCTCCAGAACTGCTCTGATCCCTCTGAGAGTCACTTCATGATCATTTGACAGAATTATCTTCATATCATTTGCATAGACCTACAGAAGTTCCTCATGGCAACCCATCAAAATATAAATTCGGGTTAGCTTATAAATATATTACTGTGGTGCAGTATGATGTACATAATACTACTCAGGGATGAAAGTTTTCCGTCGCTACGACGGATTTCCGTCAATTGGAAAAAATGAGGGGAAAAGAAACATGTAGCACATTGTTGTTGTTCTGCCGGTGTTCTGGCGATTTGTTGGTAGCATAATCTGATAGGTAGCATTATTTGTCAGAACACCAGGACATAAAAAATCCTCCCCGCCACGGCTGCAGCTTCTCACTGACAACATAACGCCGCTCGCATCATTCACAGTCGGGTTATTAGCAGAGAGCACAGAGCAGGTCTTGAATTTCAGGCGCAGGACTGCGGCTATTAATAATAACTCATTGCCGCAGGTTCCGCGCTTATAACGCGATGACAAACGAGGAACTTATCATTTGCACGTACTTTTGAGTCTTGAGAACTCTCCTTTTCTGTGCGCCCACAGATCGCGATAAGGAGAGTGACAGATTTTAATAATTATTCAAGGAGTTTGCAAATGTGATATTGATTTAATACAACAGTTCAATAAACACATACTGCCTGATTTTGCTCTATTTATCAACGAAAATAGTTCCAAATAAAGTAACAGCTCAGCCGCTTCACATCTCTAAAAGCAAACACAGCGGTTTTTCATTCATGAATGAAAGTGCTTTTTTGAACGAAACTAGTGAGTCAGTGATTCATGATTACCCATTCATAAAGACAGTCACTTGCTTCATTCCTGAATGAATTAGCCATTCAAATGAATCAATTGAATGAATGATTCAGTGATAAATTCCGTGATTTGCCACCACCTGCTGGCGGTTTCAGTTTCCTTTTTAGGTATAATTGCAGTTATTTAAATAATTTAATATTTCTGTATTCAAAATTTTATTTAAAACATTAATCTCCACATGAATTTATGAATTTAATTGCACTCATGCCACCTCTGAGCCTCATTGAATGTCTGAAAATGTACCTACAAGCCACTTTTGTGTTCTTTTTCATATTTTTCATTAATACTAATTTCATGATTGGTAACTTATTTGTCTTATTCTACTTCTTATTATATTATTTTAAATAGAAATTTTAAAAAGCTTATAAACATAATTTTTTTAATTTTACAGATGAAAATTATGCCATTGCAAAGGTAAAAAGAAAATCCCCCTGTAAATCACTTCACCTCATATTAGGAAGGCAAATTTTTGATTATTGATCAGAAGGTACTCCTTAATTTTTTTAAATTAGGAGGACAAGCGCTCATGATTACAAGAAGAAAAACACTGCTCTTAAACTGGGTGTGTGACAGGTATGGCTGAGGAATGGGGTTTGGCTAAGGAAAAATTTTCAGTCAAAAGATAATTTTTTTTGCTTTAACCCGACTACTACAACAATTATTACAACTTTTGTTTAAAAAGAAATAATCACACAATACACTATTTCTTCCATGTTTTAATTTTAATGGTAAGCCCTTTGTTTGCCAAAAAATAAAGAGTTTAACTCTTTAAAATAAAGAGTTTACTGTGGGAGTACTACACTCAACCAACACCAGGGAAGGCAGTTTTTGTCAGAGCCCTTGTTATTCTTAATTTTGACATTAATTTAAATTTTTACACCAGACATATATATCGGTTCAAAATATCGGTTATCGGTCTACTTGATCTGTAATAATCGGTATCGGCCTTGAAAAACACATATCGGTCGACCTATATATGTATATATTTATATATATACACATACATACATACAATATATATTAACTTGAGTAAATATTATGTAAAATAAATATTAATGTTATTGTAGCAACGTTGTGCATGGGCACTATTTCTAAATTAAAATGATGTGTTTTCCCTGTATTGTCCATTTAAAATCCCTAATGGCTGACCATTATAAACAGTTAGTAATTACATGTAAAAAAAATCAGTAATTACACATGAACCTAGGGCTGGACAATAATTCAATATCAATATGTATCGCGATATAATTTTTTTCAATAACGGTGATATGATTTTTAAACACATTTCCGATATTTCGATATACATTACCAGTTTCCCATACATTGATTTATTTGTGCCGTTTGACTTCGTTGAATAAACATGAGCACTGCACGTTTCAAAATCAAAACGCATCGCGGTTTTTATATGAATGTATCTCTGAAGGGAACCGACTGTCTTCAGAATAGT